TATGTGTGCGTCCCATGAGCACTCCTTCGAAATCTCTACTCCCAGGTACGTATACTTGTCTACTACCGGTAATTGTTCCTCCCCCCATTTCCATTTGAATTCTACGGGTTTTTTCTTGTCTTCGTTACAGACCACTACTGCGCATTTTCCTACGTTCGCCGAGACAGTCTCCATTTTCGGGTGTATCCTACCGCCGCATCTATTTGTTCTTGCAACCCTTCTGGTGTTTCGGATACCCCCACGAAATCATCTGCAAACATCAGTCCGGACACACTCTTTCCCCCTACTTGGACTCCCTGTCTTACTGCTTCAACCGCCCTTATCAAATCGTTGATGTAAATCTTAAAAAGAGTGGGTGACATCGTACAGCCCTGTGCGACTCCTTGGAGTATATCCACGTACTTCGAAATTTCCCCATCCAACATCACCGCACTTCTTGTGCTTTCTGTCATCTTTTTAAACATCCTCCACATTTTCCCCCGGATCCCGATGTCCCACATTTTTTTCCACAATCCATTGCGCCATACGGTGTCGTAGGCTTATTGTACATCTAGGAAGAAACAGTATGTCGTACTCCCGGCGTCTTTCCTACCTTGGATAATTTTGTTTCAACATGTCTGTCGAGAGGGGGGGGGGTGGGTTGAGGGCGTGTGTAACTTTACCTGTCGATGTTCGGTCCGTTCAGCGGGTGGGAGGGGACGTTTATGCTGCATTACCCGAACGCATTTATCCATCCACGACGGGATTTGACCGGCCGGGTATCCCCCGCAGAACGATTGCTCGTCAAAGCCCCGCGAATATCGGTCCACACTACGCACACGCCGAAATGGGTGCACCACGGACCGGTTCTGTGAGGGAGCGACCTCGCACTCAACAGCATTGATAGTTGCAAAGAAGAGATGCCTCGTGCCATCCCTTCTGTTTTGAGTTTGCAGCCCTGTTTGAGTATTCCGGTGCAGCAAGAACCACAGCAGTTCCGGGCAGCTCGCCGGGCAGCAAATACGCGGTGCTGCAGCGCCGCGCAATCTACACCTATCTTCCCGCACGTGGTACGCGTATGTACAGATGCTGCTAGGGCTAAGTTATCCTGTGCTCAAAGGGGAGTAACGGGGTAACCTGTCCGTTCTATGTTCTATGTACCCCGGGGGCGATAACCACTGTCCCCGAAAAAAGATGAGGAGATCGTCCAAAACACACTCGATTCGGACGTCTGGGATCGGCCGTAAAAATTCTGCATCAGAAAGAACGGGCAATATTCCCGATCCCTACACTGGTCGAGAGAAAAGTGTCGACGACACAGGCATTAGTCACAATCGTGTTAACAATACGTACCGCCTTAAACTGCACGGACGCAGACACTTTTGCCCTTGCACGCGCGCGATCCCCGTCTCTACTGCTTCTCATGACGCACTCAATATTACGACGAAGACAAAGATCTAGAGGGAGAGTCGAACCTCCTACACCCAGCCCCACCCCCAACTCTTGCTGCTGCTATCTCCGCGCAAGACACGGATCTTCTCGAAATTTTGGGACAACAAGAGAACACAACAGTAGGAATGGGGCACGTGACGGCGGGAACAAAAAACCAGCAACGTTTGCACTATCCTTGCCCCCAGCCTTATCTTCACGTGCACAGAAACTCGTACGCAGACACAAAACTTCACATGTCCACTACAAGCGCCGATTGCACCCTTCGATTACACCTATCTGCCTCCCCTGGGCCTCGTTACCCATCCGGGCAGAGAGAAAATGGAGAGAGGACGCTTCTCGTGTCGTGCGATCAGGACACGCCGCTTCAAGCCGACACAATCCAGTCGCCCGAGCCGAACGACAACCCAACCGGAGATACAAAAACCCCGCAGCAACAGCGCGTCTATTGGCCCCTTGCTCGGATCGAGGTGGTGTATTCCACCATACGACAGGGCTGGAGCGTGGTCACACAGATGTAGGTCCCTGCCAAAATGCTACTGGCGGACCGGGTTTATTGGGAGATTCGAGCAAAAAATAACCAAAATACTGAACAGTCCTTCTAGGGGGGAATCGTGGATTGCAACCAGGAAACGATTTCACGAGAAAGTATTCCCTGGGGAGTTGCATCAGCGTCTCTGCTTGCCTGTTTATCTGCAATCGTGTACTTGTAGCTCTCTCCCACTGATGGCCAAAAACTGCTGCCCACAAGGGACCGACAAACAGGAGCGACGCCTATCATTCTTCGGCATGGCTTTCTTATTTAGCCATCTCGCCGCGGGCTGCCCCGCTGCGGTCCTTCACCCAGCTAGTGCCGCCCACTGAGCTGATGCAAGGCGCCTGCTTGAGGTAAGGGAAGTCCTTGTCCGAAATGGCTCCCAGGATGAAGTCCGCCACATCGGCGCGGCTAATGGATCCCGCCTGATAGTTGCAGAAAAAAACACGCAGGGAATCGGCGGGGGGGGTCACCTTTGTCCCTCGACTGCTGCCCACGGAACGTTTCTTCACGTTAGGGAGTGAATCCCGATGATTGTGCAGAGAATCACAGAGGGGGGCGCAAACCACATCGCCGGAAAGGGACTTCATCAGTAAAAGGATGTGCGTGTGAGGATTGGACCCAGGAGACCGGTGCCACATCTTGAGCGCTCTTTCTCTCTTCGTCAAGCAGTCGCCTGACGTGTTCCAGAAAACGGGGGAAGGAGCGGTGGCCGGGTTGCCGAATGTATTCGCAACCACCATGTCCATGGCAACCCCGTACAAGAATATGAACATGTGTCTGGTTCGCGTGTAAAATCCAGCGCTGAGTAAAACTAACAAGAATGTTGGGTCGACCGGGGAGTGTCTCTAAATAGAAGAACACCTGAGGGCTGTATACGTCCTAATGATTCAGGAGAGAGAGAAAGAGAGAGAGGGAGAGAGAGCGAGAGAGAGACTTAAATAACCTGAACCACGGAAACTGTCAAAGGGATGAGAACCAAACAATGGGCTCATTCTTGTGCCCTTGGCTGAGTAAATACTGACCTCTCCCTTGATGACATTGATTACGCCCGTAGGCGGTTCCACCGTCAGGCCCCCCGGCCGTACAATCGTGAACTGCAACAACGGGGCAAAAAAAAACGCGCGGAGAAGTTGTGAAAGCCCAAGGAAGGATGTGCAACATATTCCTAACAAAAGGGTGAGGGTGTGTTTCTCCAAAGCAACAACCGCACGTGGAAACAAGCACTCAGGAATGAACGCTCATGAAAACAGGCCGCAAGAGCTGTGCGCCGTAAATACACTAGGGGCGCGTCAAGAGGCATGAGAGGAGAGTGAGGACGGAATAAAGGGTTGACAACACCACCTACGACAAGACAGGGGCAGTGTGTACAATGCGCCGGAGACACAAGTGCCCCGTAGGAACCTGTGGTTCGGCTCTCGAGAACACAAGTCCGCCAGACGCGACGTTGTATGTGAGATGCCAACGAGTTCGCCGCTTGCTGCTGCTGCTGCTAATCCTGCTGTGTAGCATGGACAACCTGAAACGCCCCACTAGTGTTGCTCTACAGCAACAGCAGCATAGATTCGAAACACCGTTCAAGCATATGTAAAAAATGCGGCGCCAGCGCGCCATTCACCACACTACAGAGGTGCCGCGCACCGAAGTACGGAGATGACCAAACAAACATACAATTATAATTTGTTGCGAAAATATATATATTCCCCGCGTGAGAACCGTAAAAAATCGCGACGTAGAACATCTGCTGCTGTTGCCGCTGCTACTGCTGGTGAACACCACTCGTGACGCTATCACGCACATCGAGGTCCTGTCCCGGCCCGTCAAAGAAGAGCTTCTCCTGCTCGTTCTTGTCCGCGAAGATGCTCTTCATCGCCGTGTACATCAACACCTATGCATAGCGGGACAAACAAAAATGCCGCAGCATTTTCCCATGAAAACAACCATGCGAAGCGGAAACTCAGCGGGATGGTAAAATTTTGCGGGGGGAGTGCAGGAGGGGCACGTCCCAGTGCGAGAAAAAACATCCACACGCCCTGGCTAGTGAGACTTGCGGTGAGCGAAGCACGCGGGGGCTTCTCCGTGCACACCAAGAGATATCGTGATTGATCTTCGACAAGCTGCTGGTACTCCTATTTGTCGATCAAATCAAACACAACGCGAACAACACCCAGCAGCGATAAAAATCGCAAGCGCTACTACCTACACGAGTCGTGGGGCACATGCCTTGAAGAAGAACGGCGCCTGGTTCTCGCTGTCTCCCGTGCCGATGCTGGTGACGGTCGCCACCTTCTTCACTCCCTTCTCCTTCATGGCCGTGATGATGTTGCTCGTGCCTGGAGAGAGAGAGAGAGAGAAAGAGAGAGAGAGAGAGAGAGGAAACAAGGGTCGGAGGAGGGAAGGCGAGACAGACAAACTTAATCAAATGCACCAAGCACCACCAAAGCGAAGCAGCAGTACACATGCTCGTGTGGTCGAACGCGACAGCCCCCCCCCCCCCGAAAGATATAACGTCGGGGGTGCCAAGAGAAAAATTGTGACAGCAACAGCAGAGTGGCAATTGGTGGGCCCAGCTGTGCACACGGTCGTGATCTTTACACCATGTTAGTCTTCCTACGACTGGAACCAGTGCATAGCACAGCATCTACTGGTCGGTGGAGGCGGCGAGGGCGTAGGCAGGAAAGAAAGGAAAGGCCCACGTGGTACTTACGACCTACTACATGAAGGGCCCGCACTTCAGAACCTCAGATTGACCGAGGCTCGTTTCGTATCTTGTCTGCGGGGTACTGTATCTCCACGACGACGATATAGGTTTTAATGTAGGATTCTTGACAGCGCCTGCCTGATTTTTGGTCAAGTTCTCATACATATATTTTGGAAATACTTAAGGCTCAAGGTCTTAACCACCAAGTTGTGAAGTGCGGGCCGCTCCTGTACTGCGCTTTCTCTCTGTCTCTCTCTGAAAGACTCGTCATGTCTCCTCACGGTACAAGCCTGTCCTTTGGAAGACGGATTTGCGTCCCAACGTTCCAGATCATCGCGAGAACAAGACACAAGAAAAAGAAGATTCCGACAAAACGGCTGAAAGGGAGGCACACGAGGCCAGAAAGCCACATGATCAAAGCTGCCGCCTAACGTAACGTGCTGCTTCACAACGTGATGCCCTGTGGCTGGTGCTCTGCGTACTTCGTCGTCGCACCCAAACTGTACCTAAGAAATACATTCTTGCGCAAGCATGCTGGTTGTACCATGCTTTGGGATAACCCTTTTCAACGCCGTTCTACGCTTGAGCTGTCAAGGGTAGGGGAAGAGGAGGAGATAATGGATGGGGATTAACAAAAACAAACGATCTGAAGACAAAACCAACACCCGCAAAACAGCAGTGTACCGCCCTGTGTCGCCATCACTTTCGCTTTGGCCAAGCAACGTAGGCACTGCCATGTCACACGTGCACCACCCAAAGACTATTGTTCCGGTTGGTCCTCACCATCCGTGAGCATGGTGGTGCCGACGTCCTTGGTCTTTCCCCCCAGAGCAATCGCGACCCCGGTGATGGGGCCGTTCGAGAACACCTTCCGGACATCGTCCAGGTCCGTCACCGTACCCTGCTCGGTGAAATATTGCACCAAAACAAAAAGAGAGAGAGAGAGAGAGACGGCGAGAGCAAACACAGCTTATACATACGTGGGCAACGATGCCTGGGTGAGAGACGGTCAGCTGAAGCACAACAGAAACAATCAAGGGCTAACCAGATCTTAGGTAGCTCTTCGAGAGACTTGCACGAAAACAAAGGAATAACGCAAACGCAGTCGCCCTCCTTCGAGGTCGAGCGTTTCAGCTCACCTGGACGGTCTTGAGGTTTTCGTTCGACAGGGGCGTGCCGGCCTTCGTCACCCCCACTCCCGGGGGGTACTTATGTCGACAAAGAGAGCGTTTGAGTGGGGGGGGGGGGGGCGAAGAACGGCGTAAAAACTACGCAACAAAAAACAAATATGTCAACCATTGGATTCCAGGCCCATTCTAAGATAGCAGCCCTCCCCATCTGCACTGGTGGCGTAGATACCTCCCACGGTCTGGAAACGCTTGGACAAGAAAAAAACGCCCACGTCACCCTTGTAGCGTCCTGACGGTAGAAAGCGTGTCTCTCTTGTCCTCCTCTCTCTCCGTTCTGGGCGACGCCTGTTAAAATGGTGTTTAGCTTGCATACGTATGGGTGGGGACCCTTTACGTTGATGCGGTGATTGTTGCTGCCGAAGTCACTTGAACCCTCTCTCTACACTTTGCGTATTTCAATGCTACCGCTGTCTGGCTTGGTGAGGACTACTGGCAGAAAATATCCTCCTCGTGGATGCCGTCTCAGGCAAGCGATTCCTCTGACGTCAATAATTTAACTCGACTGCTCGAAATCACACAAAACCCCGGTTCAGACGAAGTTCACGCAACTCCACGGCTTACTTTTTTCCATTTAGGTACACATACAGTGAGAAAAACAATTGAACTATGCATAGAGTTCCAACCAGTCCTCAAATCCTGTCACATGCTACTGCTGGAGGGTTAGAAATGTTTTTATCCCAAGACAGGTTGTACCCCGCGAAAATCAATACATGCGTCATGCGTACAAGGGCCACACACCACGAGCTTGGAAGGGTCGCGGCAGAAGGCGGTGACCTTGTCGCCTCGCTGCAGGGCCTGGTACACGACCTCCGATCCCGTCAACCCGTTCCCCCCGAACACGGCGATGTTGCCCGCCATCATGGTCACGCAAGATCTGCCGAGCCGGCAATCGCACCATCGAAAAAGAGAAATTTCATTTATTAGACCATTGGAACGAGAAATGGGGATTTCCAAGAAGCGTGTTCCCCGGGGGGTCAGTCCCAGTAGCCTTCGCAGGGTGTTTCTAGTTGAAAGTAAACATGTTGGGGAAAGCACGCAATCGGGGAAGTTCGGATAGGGTTAGGGATAGGATCCGCGTACCCCCTCCCTGTTCGATTTCCTCATAAACTTACATTATCGCGCAGGCGGTCCGTCAAAAGGCGGCGGAAAGCGACTGTTTCCGGGGTTGATCGTTGCTTTACGTTCTTGTTTGTGCGCAAAATAAACAAATTCTCACTCCGAAAACCATCGAATGAGGCGATACATACGATCAGCCACACATCTCAACCAGGTGAGTCCTTGCGTATACTGAATATGTGCATACCGTCCTCACCTCTGTCTGGGGCAAAACTTCCCCGGGCAAAGCAAAAAAGACAAAAACAATCATGAATCGCAAAAATTGCTTGCTAGCTTCAAGATTCAAGAAACAGCAATTAAACAGCAATAAACTCCAGCACGCTATCACACGACACTGCGGCGAGTTACGGCTTGCCAGAATGTTCACCTGGTAGCACACACATAACAACAACGGAGGGATACCCCCCCGATATTCTTGTCCTTGGCCCAGCCGAGGACTAGGACTGCAAAGGATGTTCAGCTGACATTACTGATTCTTCAGTGCAAGGCGTAAACAGATCAATAACAAGTCCAGCAGGGGTCAATCAACCCCCATTCATTGCAAAGACTAATAAATCCCTTCGAGGGGGGCGAAATCTCGGAAGGGTAGTCTCTTCAGTAACTCTGTATGGATGTCCATTTCATAAAAATACTGTTAGACTTTCGCAGTTACACTTGCATGCAGTATCGAGCACGTGCCACCCAACCTTCAAGTGAACACATGAGAGCGTCGCCTCCAGAATTGCTTCTTGTGTGGGTATGTATCATGAGTACATATTCACGACTTCTAAAACCCCGTGCCACGTGTGCACAGAGTGCCTTCACCTTGGTCGTACACATGAGCTTCATGGAACGCGCAAATCTGTTTTCTCCTTCGGCTGTACACGTAGAGCTGGGCACCCAGCACGCTTGCTGTGTTCTCAAGACGGGATGCTGTTTTTGGGTGTCCGTGGGACCTTCGTGAGGAAATTGTTCCTACCACCCTCCCTGCCTGTGCATAGTTAGGCTACCGCCGTACACGCCAGGCTTGTTCCGCCTCAGGTGAACGGCGGGACTACGAGCACCTACAACTGGCTGCAACGACATGTGCGCGGTGCGATCGTGTGGTGCATGCACCCAGCTCACGAACGGAGTGGGGGGGGGTGAGCATCGGCGGCTCCCAACGTGTCGTACGGGTAAACGAGCGAAGCGTGAGTTGATGAGGCTGGTGAAGCGACGGTGTGCGACGAGAATCCGGTGCACGAGGTGCAAGCAAGTACAAATGTCACCAAGCGCGAAGACGGCTGGGCAGACGACGAGCGACTGAGCGAACGAGGCGACTCTAAAGCGGAAATGAGAGACGAAGGTAGACGCAACGGTGCGTGGAAAGAGAGTAAAAGGAATCGGTTCGCCGGATCTTCCATGCGTCCATCGACAACGACGACCAAAACGCAGGAACAGCAGACCTTTAGAAGGGTCGAGGAGACAGATCCAGAACGAATCGCAGGGAAACCAACATGCCCAAGTTGCCGTAGTGGCAAGCCCCAAAGAGAAGTCGGAAAGAGAGCAGCCCCGTGCAGGTTAGTGATTGCTGGGCTCGACTACCCTACGACATGAGGTGGGCAAAGAAGGGCGTTGTTAACGGCAAAAAATTAGGCTGGGAGACTTGCTTAATACAAGCAACATCCAACTCGGTGACAAGCAGTGCGTCCTCATCCCTGTACTGGGATAGCAGGCCGGATGGAAAGGATCTTGATGAGCATGTTGCTCGTTGGGTAGGGTACTTGTTGTTGTGCTTGTGCCTCTACACTGCTGAATGGCGAGCAAAGACATGACAGCAGCCTGTACCTCGATTGATTTCATTGACAAAATGATGCCACCGCCGTAGCAAAACAACGGCTTGTCTTAGAAAATAATGGTGTACCTAATTCGAAGTTGTTCTTTAGGTCAGGATTCGGAGTGTTCATGAAGTCTCTCAAGTCGGATACGAATGTTGTTCCGTCATACATACAAGACGGGTGTGAATTGCTCTCCCATCTCGCCTCATCCCCAATTCAGCGCTGGGTTGAATGCTCCAACGCTCGAGAAAATGTGCCTCTTTCAACAAAGTTTGAAACATCATGGTGCCCACTGTCTTTTTCTGTTCGCACGCTGGAACGCGTACATTCAGCACTTCTGTGCCGTGTGGCGGGTGTGCTCGTGGGGTTTGCTGCCAGAGAAAAAGTTTTAAATGTCAAGTCCGTTTTCTGGCCGGGATTCTGAGTGTTCGTTTACTGGAAAAGGTCCGAGAAGAGTGAACTGGTCTCCCTCCGCCGCAGTAGTTTAGTCCCCTATTCAGCGCTGGGGTAAACGCCCACAAGCACGCGAAAACGTTCCTCCTTTCACGGGAACACGAAATCACACGGCCGTGCTGCTGTTTGCTGTTTGCACGCTGGAAGCGCGCATAGTCAGCGCCACTCTACTGCTGCTGTGGTGTGGAGAAGAGGAGCGTGTGAAATTGATTGCAGGGGGAAAAACCTGACGAGTCAACAAATAGTGAGAAAAACTGCGCCAAGGATCCTCAGCGCAAAAAATGCCGGCGCGGAACATAACCTAATGGTGCGAACCCTCCATTGGAAGAGCGAATCTTGTGCATGTGTCAGGCATGTTGGCCAGAGGTTTGCGGGATGGTGACGTCTGTTTCCGGGGGACGTCGGGGATGTCTCCGGGGGGGCATGCAGCAGGCCAATGGAATCCCGACACAGAAAGAGTTATATATATAACAAGGGCGATCGAAGAAGGC